CCCCCCCCTTCTTTTTTTTTTAATGCAATGCACTGAGATCTCTTCTCCTTGTACATCAATTATACAGCTCTTAATTACACACCTGAGAGTGCCCGGCTCCATAGGCACCCGCAGAAGGGTCCTTGCCTGCTCCGAAGTGCATATTACGTATGCATATTTAATTTAAAAGAGAAATAAAAGGAGAATAAATTATTGGCGATCCAGGCCCAGAGTGAATCCGCTGGGGGTCACCTGAGGAAGCAGCCCTGCACCCTTCTGCAGGATCCTGCTGGCCTGCGTGCCAAAACAGCCCAGGACACTCATCCTGAGCGAGCCCAGGACAGGCAAGACAGGTCCCATACCATAATCCATACCATGAGTAACGCCTGGGGTAAGAAGGCCTGTCCCTCCTTCCAGCTCTCCGTCTACTGCCCAGCCCAGCCTTGGGCCGAGCAGTAGCCCCTCTGCACCCAGGCTTGGTTAGGAGTTTGGAATTTGTGATAATTTAGATCAGCCCTCAAAGACGTGGGTGCATGGGATGCGTATGGAGCAGGGCTGGTCAGTGTGCCCCCCGCCTCCCTATCCCACAGGTGTCCCTGCGTGGGCCAAGAGGAGTGGTGCACCGCCTGGGATATCCCTTGGTCCTCCCAATCCCACAGCAGGTCTCCACTTGCATGCAGAGGAGTGCAAATCTCACCCTGCTTCTTCCAAACGTATGGAAGGTTGTTTACAAGCATGTAATTTTTACAGCTGCTTTATATTGCTATAAGCAAGACAGCTTTATGATGTAGGAATGTCATGAAGTGTGGTATGGAAGATCTTTAAAAAATACGTGCTTTTTAATGGTAGAGAAAAATGGTCTTTCTGGCTGGGGGCAGGGGATTGAGACACAACCTGTAAGATCCCATGCTTGACACCAAACGCTGCAACTCTACAGAAGGCGCCTTACAAAGGTCCTTCAGCTGAATTCTCGCTCCTAAAACATCCATCATTTCCTCCATATTCTAATGCAACTGTTGTCCTGGTTATGAGCAAAGCTTTTTGATCCTACCCAACTTTGATACAACATTTGTTTCCATGGCAATAGATCTTCGTGTTCTGAGTCCCGGAGATTTTTGAAACGTACCCTTAGCACCAGCTGAAGCTTTGTAACATAAAACATCTAAGCTGATGCTCTTATGTATTTAACATGGATGAAAGGAAGGGGACTGCAGGTTTTGCTCATACATGTTACAGGTTGTGTGTGTGAATGATTTTATTACAAAATGTCACTCATGCTGATATTAAAAGAGAGAAATTAAACAGCACTGACTAGTGCTACCTAACAACAGGAACAGCTTTGCTTCATTCACATAAAGTGATCAAAATAAATGAGTGAATTCCATATAAATCGAGATGGAATATTTCAGCTGAATAACAATTAGCCTATTACTGACTAAGTAGCTAACACCAGGCACTGGGGCTGTCACAAGCCGGGCTTATATGCTTATCTTAAGGTGTGTTTCAGCTTTGAGCAATTCCACCCAGCGTGTGAATAGGCTCAGATTCACGTTTGTACATATGGATTCATTTCCACACTGGCACATATTCATGTAGGTTTACTTCTCTCTAAACACAACATCACCCCTAATGTCTAAGGAATATACATAACGATAATGTTACTGAACCTTTCATTTGCTCTCTTGATGAAATGCTTTGACACTCTCTCTCTCTTCTCTTCCTCCCCTCAAATCCCCCCGGAAGGCAGAATCTGCTCTTATGTGCTGCTGGACATTGCATTCACCGAGCAATTACTATAATCGGAAGAAAGTTTGTGCAAGGCAAGGGATCAGATAACATTGCAGCATGGATTATATTATTGTACTAGCAGCAATGGTCCCTGCTCCTAGGAATGAAAATGTGGTTTAATTTGTGTTGTGGTCTTTAAATTTTCATTTTTCAGAACAAAAATCTCCGCACATGAAAATGTATCTTGCAGTAATGGAGGTATGGCAGTTAACCTGTCAGTTGAAAGTATGTAACCTTCCTTTTCTCCTTTTCATGACAAAGGTAATCTCATCTGAGGGCATTTATGTGAAGAAATAACAGCATGGCATGGTGAAACCACTGGCTCATTAATCCTGGCATCTACTTCCTGCAGGGCTTCTTGATTAGTTAGATTCATTCATCGGGTATTTCAGAGTT